TTCTTAAGAAAATTGTGTCTGAAATCTGTTCGTCTGGGACTTATGAGACAAAATTAGCAGCAACCAATGTCATCCTTCTTGTTCACTGGTTTCCCTGCTGCAGGAAGAACTTTTCATTACAAAGATATCTACAGGAGAAAGTTGGGCTCCCTTATTTCATTCTTTCATTTGTAGCTTAAGTTTCAGCTTGTTTAATAATTCTATTAATTATCCTGGCAACTTGGAGATATTTAAAATACTTCATGGAAAACCTAGGCCAGTGTTCATATACAGTTTTTTTCCATTTGAAGGCTGTTCTGACCAAAGCATCACTTTCTGTTTTCCAACTTAGCTATTTTGTTTGCTATTTTAGAAGTGGTTCCTTCAAGATTGAATACATTTCCATAAAGTGAAAGATCCCTTGCAATTACAATTCCACACAGCATTAAGTGCCTACTGGATTTAAATAGCTGTAAAACTATAGAATATTTCCTGAGTACTGATGTGAATATTGATGAAGATGTGGACTCCCTCTGATAGTTCCCTAGACTTCTCCAATGTCAAAGGAAATGAAAAAGCAGCCTCCTCTTCCTACCACAAAGTGATTCCTTGTATCAAATGAGGGTGCTTGATTTAAACTAATTTTTCTAAAATTTAAATTCTTAAAAGCACAATTGAAAACTGTAGGTAGTTTAGCCCAATGAGGCTTTGAAATATTGTAAATCCATTAAAATCTATACAAAAATCACCATGCTCCAGAAACAAAATGAAAGGCACTTACCAGACCTATTTTCATGACATGAATATACTGACTTGTGGTGAGACACTGACCTTTTAAGACATATTACATTCTTAGGTATTTAATTGCTATTTTATCACAGATGCTTCATAGACTCTACATGGATTGAATCATGCATGTGACTTTTGTTTGCTCCCCTTAGAAGACATTTGGTTGGCTTCTGTCCCTCAGATATTGCCAAGACACATTTTGATGCTTTCCTTTTAAATGACTCAGTTGTTAAAGTTCATGTTGCATGCAGACTTTATTTGTGGGTTGAGCACAAAAAATTGCCTCTCTTCCTTTATGGTATCTTTTTAACTGATAGAACAATACAGTATTTTATCTACTATAATAATGTGCCTCATTTAGAAATGATGCAGATTTCTGAAAATAGTGTTGTTGCACACAGATTTTTAAGAATTTATCTGAGTAACCAAAACTATAAGGAATTGTGTGGTGTATTAATTCTGGTTTTAAAATATTACCTGCCACAAAAGAAAAAAAAATCAAGATTTCCCCCATCTACTTCTAAAAGACCTAATGCTAAAGATGGAAACATGAAAAAAATTAAAATAACAAGGTGAAAAAGTGACAAACTAGAAATTTTGACATTCAGTTTAAAGTTATAGTCATACTGGTTAAGTGACAAAATCTCTGAATGACTGATTTTTTTTTTTTTTCAATGATTTGAACAGATTTCTACCTTGGCATTCTAGAAATTCAGGAACAAAGATTTATGATGCTAATGAACATTTGAATAAATGTGTCTTTAAACAATTAAAATTCTAGTTAGCCAGGTAGAATAGTTACTGTTTATTCATTTAGAGTCTGCTAAGTCATAATTAGAAGATCTAGCTTACCAAGCCTATATCTTATCTGCTGTGGAGAAAATAATCTTTTTCATGACTGGCAACCAACTATAGTTAACTACCAAAACAAATATCTGGCAGTAAAATTTTTCTCTCTATTCTCAATAATTGCACTTTAAAGGTACATAATATTGTAACAAATAAGAAAGCTGCTGGGAGCATTTTGACAGCCCAAATAGTAGCAATGGGAGATTGTGGTTCTGCATAGTCTGCACAGTGTGCATTCAGCAGTAGGTAGCTTTTTAGACAGCAGCAAAGAGAAAATGATCATCTTTATATCAGCAAATAAGATAAAACAAATGTTACAGAAATCAGTTATTCAACATGCGCTATCCTCAGCACTGTAGGACTTAAAAGCTTCACGAATGGAAATACTAAGGATCTGGTACTTTGAACTGGATGCTTACAACTGGGAGGAGTAAGATTGATCTGTATGTTTTGGGGGGAGGCAGTGTGAAGTAGTACATAGTTTTTTGCTAACCATTCTGGAAGTTCATTTAGTCTTCCAGGATTTCAGAGAAACCTCATTTTCAATTCAGCTTAATTAATTAACGATCTTCATGCAAAGTTTGGGACTTGAAAGTGGGGTGTCCCAGATTTTCCTTTCCCTCATCTCTCTGGATGTGTCTTGTTAATCTACTTCAACAATTGTTTCTTTTTCATAAGGCCATTAGATGGTGGAGTTCCTTAAGACATTTAGTTTTTCTTTTCATTACTTTCTCCCTAAATGATCTCATTCAAGTCAATAGCTTCCCTTAACATCTATACATGAATGACATCTAAATGAGATCTGCACATTAAACCAGTCCTCCATCCCTATATCTAACTGTCTGTTGTCTTAAAAGTACCTCTTTAGTGGGAAATTTCTAAGAGAATACATGATCTTTCCTCCTAAGCCTAGTCCTTACTAGCCTTTTCTGGTTTAGCAATTGGTACCACCAGCCAGCCAGCTGCTCAAGCCACAAAATAAGAATGGCCCACATCCTATTTGTCATCACATTTTTTTCCCAATGTGCTTATAAAGAAAACTTCTTGACACTCACTACCATAACCTGCATCCACCACAGGAGTCTCTCAGGTGATTGTCTGGCATAAATTGCGACACCCACCATCAACAATCCTCTATTTTCTACACTGAAATCAAAGTAAGTGTTTATTTATTTATTTTTTTCCAAAACCCACTCTAAAGTGAAAAGAGCCAATCTGAAAAGTCGACATGTTGTATGATTTTAACTCTGACATGGTGAAAAATGACTTTGGAGACAGTAAAAGGGTCATTGTTGCCAGGGTAAAGGTAAAGATGAACAGGCAAAGCACAGAGAGTTTTAAGAGCAGTGAATTTATAGTGTATGATATGACAATGGTGGACTATGCCTTACATATTTGTCAGAACCTATAGAACACACAAGAAAAGTGAACCATATAGAAACTATGGACCAGGGTAATAATGATGTGTCAGTGTTAGTTCATTAGTTATAATGAATGTACCATACTGGGCAGATTCTTGGGGGAGGCTCCATGTACGTAACAATGGAGATGGTATGGGAATTCTCTTTTTTCTGTTCAGTTCACTATAAATCTAAAAATACTCTAAACAAATAAAGTGTATTTATAAAATTCATTCTGATCTTGCATCTTTTCCTCAACTCCTAGAAGTGCTTTATTGCCCACCTCCCAGTGTTGCTGAAGCAATGAATGGTTGGACTAAGTCCTTGGCATGGCTCCCATCCACCTCTGCAGCCCCATCTCCTCTGTACCATTCTCATTCTGCCTTCCAGCCATGCCGGTCTCCCTCAGGTCTGAAGGGCACAAGTGTAATTTTGGGTCTTGCCTCTTCACCCCCCCCCTTGCCTAATCAATATCTGCTCGTTCTTCAGATCTGCTCATTGTCATTTCCTAATGGAAGACTTCTTTGAGGTCAACAGCCTGTGTGAAGTTCACTGCTTTTGCTATATTTCACACATAAAACCTAAATTACTTCCCTAGAACCCTTACATTCACACTCTTTCCCCCCACCTCTCTCTTTCTCTCTCTTTATATATACACATACGTATATATACACACATTATATATGTATATATATAATGTGTGTATATATTTGGATTATACAGAGGGACTTTATTTTTTATAAACAAATCATTTACAAAGAATACAAGTAACAATAAATGTTTGCAAGGATGCGGGAGACAAAGGGACACTCATACATTGCTAGTGGGACTGCCAATAGGTGCAACCACTCTGGAAAGCTTTATGGTGATTCGACACAAAACTAGGAATAGAACCATCCTTTGACCCAGTTATACCACACCTCAGTATATATCCAAAGGAGTTAAAATCGGCTTACTACAGTGACATAGCCACATCAGTTTATAGCAGCTCAATTCACCACTTTGTATTTAAACCTTCATGAAAGATAAATATTCATGAGTGTGTATTAATATCTGTCTTCCCTATAAGACTTAAATACCATGAAGTGATACTCTGTCTATTCTTTCTCTCTACTGAACCTAGTACAGTAGTTCTACAACACCAGGGACATTCAGTAAATATTTGTTGAAAGAATAAATAGAAGAAAGAAGAAAGACTGCTGAGTGAACTGCTGGAATCAAGTTTGTTGCTGTTCTCTCTAGCCATTAGACATTTGAAAACACTGCAATATAAAGTAATCCCTCAGAAGAGGATTTTTTGAATATGCATTTTAAAAATCCCATGACAGCAGAATTTTTTCTGACCTTAAGCATCTGTATTTCATGTGGTTATCTCTGGATTCCTAGGATTCTTGATAGTGACTCTGCTGAGCAAGGCCTTGAGAGCTGAGGGTAAGCCACATGGCTTCTCATCGGTGATGTTTATCTGGTGTGGGGACGTCTTTCATGCCCAGCCTCTTCTTTCAAATCCCGGAAAAATCCTTTCTTATTGAGTGGCCACTTGGGGAATGGAATGTTCTGGTCATTGTACACTGAATTCCTTGTTTGACCTGGATTCTTTTAAAAGTTGTCCTTTGGTAGCCACATCAACATCAAATCACCACGAGGCCCCCTGTTTGAGGAGGCCTGTTGTACTTTGTTGACGTGTGGTTTCCAAGGCAAATTTTCTCTGACCTCATTAATAAAAAATTAAGATGAAGAAACAATTCCCTTCCTTTCCAGGTAAGCTAAGCAATTTATTTTAATTACTGTCACCCTTTAGTAACTACCATAGGGTTCCTAACCATTTACCTCAGTAATAATGATGTGACTTTGCAGTAGATTTTCAGGCAGTCAGCTATGGATTTGGGGGTTCTCTGACATTTACTTTTTTTTCTATGTTAAAATTATGTATACATATATATGCACATATATATATTCTGAGATTATCTTTTCTCATTGCAGTCTGTTCTTTCCCATGGTACTGTGGCAGACTGTGCTGTGGTTGGCAAGGAAGACCCTCTGAAAGGTCATGTCCCCTTTGCACTCTGTGTGTTGAAGAAAGGTGAGGCACCTTTGTCCTTCCTGGTTGTTTGGGCCTGAATGATGAACTCAGGTTAATTCTGCATTTACTATCTCAAACTCCTCCCTAGACATAAATGCAACAGAGGAACAAGTTCTGGAAGAAATTGTGAAACATGTTAGACAGAGCATTGGCCCTGTGGCTGCTTTTCGAAATGCAGTGTTTGTCAAACAGTTACCCAAAACCAGATCTGGAAAAATTCCGCGATCTACTCTATCTGCCCTCGTCAATGGCAAGCCTTATAAGGTAAGTGACCAAGGATGTTTAAGTCTGAGCTCTGAAATGTTTTTCACCATTTCTTTGGCATCAGCAAAACTCTTTAAAAATGTTCTCCGGCATGAATTGTATCCATAGAAAACATACTAGACTGACTTTTAAAAATATATTAAAAGGGAAACCGCATATTTCCTCTCTGTAGGAATGAGGGTTTGAGCAAGAAAGGCAGATTAATTAAAATCATATGCTTTGATTATAGGAATCCATGTGAAAATATTTTTCTATCAGTTATTATGTTAGTTAAATTCAAACATACTTGTAGAAACTGGATCATGTTGAATTTAAAGTACATTTTCCTTCATTCCAGCCATTAATGGTTATTAGTGAATGAGAAAGCAAAATATTTGAGGCTGGTAAGAGATGCTTAAAACTTTTTAATTGGTCGGCCCTCTGATCCCATAGCTATTACTGTGTCCATAGGAATAATAGGTAAGGGCTCCGTCTCTGTCAAGCCGTGTAACAAAGGACACTGTGGAAAATGTCTGGCATCAGAGGGAGCATGTGGAGAGCAACTTGGGAGGAAAAAGTTCATTTTGTATTGAATGATTTTTAATAAATGCAATATTAATCCTTGCAGATGAGCAATAATCATTAAAGTCAATTAAAATGAAAAAAAAACTTTCTAATTGATGTATGTCCTAATTATGTCTTCTATTTGAACGGAAAATTATTTTAGGAATCTTTAGACTGATATAGTCTTTAAATCTGTATGCACATTACTTGTACACAAGTACACATATTTTTATCAATAATATCTAATTAAAGCCAATGCAGCAGTAAGGTGTACTTGCATGAATAAATGTCAAAAAGAAAAAAAAATGAAACTCCCTATGGAAATATACAGAAAGGCTCTGAAAAGGAACTCCAGAGAAAGTACCATCCTAGGACCAATAGTTTTGCTAATTAAACCATTTATTTTGTTACTCCGAAAGACTATACATACATTTTTAAATATCAAGTCCAAAGTTTCTCATTTGTATATTTTTAACAGAAGCGTTATAATTTAAGATGATATAGAAATACAACACTGCATATAATTGTTTTCATTATAAAGATCATTAAAAGGGTTCAAGGAAGAGCGTTTCTCTGACACTGAATTTCTTTCTAGGTAACTCCTACAATTGAAGACCCCAGCATTTTTGGGCACATAGAAGAAGTGCTAAAGCAGGCATCATGACATTTTTTTGTTTTCCAACTTTGAATTAATAGTCTAGTTGGTATTATTTGAGCTGTTTTCCAGAAATGAATATTTAAATAGAAATTACTTGCCAGTTGAAATGTGAATTGTAAAGCTTGGTCTAAAGTGGTCTAAGCAAGACGAGTGAAAAAATCTGTACCTTCTGTTTGATTTGACACAACTGATATCACTGTCAGTTGCCTGTAAAATGGCTCATCATGTGCTGTCTAGCACTTTTAGAAAAATCTATGTATTCTATGATTTTTTAAAAGTTGTACTCCCCCAAAACACATGAACTGAAAATGCCTCTCATATAGATAATTCCTGAAGTTAAAAATCCACAGCTTTGATCTACATTCAAATATTCAAGTCAAGGTCAGAAAATAATTTTTTTCTTATAGAAATTTTGAATATGTCCTAATATTCTTCAGATACTCACATTGTGTTAAATGAAATAAGATGAACGGGGAATTTTAGGTAGTCATCCAGATGGACAAATTTTATCTAGGTAGGAGGACCTGTCTAGCCACATGAGTCTCGAGGGAAGGAGGGTGGCCAGGGATATTAGCCCTGCCTTCAGCTCATCTTTCAGTTCGGCAAAAGAAGTCACAGGTCTGGCAGAGACCCTAGAGTCATTCCGTCCCATCTTCTCATCATGGAGCTGAGGCCTCCTGAGAAGTCCCACTCATGTCTCAGGTGCTTACTTGACTGTATACTTTTTAATGACTCCAATTTCCTATGGAATCAAGGAAATGATATACAAATGGAGTAGAGTGGCAAAGAAAACTCTTAAAGAAGAATTCGAAAGGCTTTTTCAATAAGTTAAAGATCAAGGGACTTTTCAAGGAGTTACTATAACACCAGTGATCTTTTCATGTGTGTTTGAGCCATTTATCTCACGTTTCAGGAAAATAAGGCTTGGTGGAGACTGGAGAGCATCTGTTCCATCAAGGGAACAGCCTCTACCCAGTCCCAGCAGAATATGGCCCAGGAGGGAAAAAGATCCCCTATTGTAAGAACCTCTGATTTTTAAAAGAAATCAAAAATCCATTGTTTCATGTGAAAATTCTAATTCTTAAATAAATAATTCATTTGAAAATTATTATGCCCAAACACATCTCTCCTTCTAGACTTCTATAAAATTATTAATCCTTTTAAAAAGAATTTGAAAAGGAGTCTTTAGTAAGTTTACAGTAATGTACCAATCAATAGATAAAAATAGATGATTAGCTATTTTGTTTACTTAGGGTTCTACATGCATCAGTTATCAAATAATACATTTAATCACAAAACATGCACCATGCCCAGTGAATCTTGGAAGTTTCTCAAAGTATTTCTCAATTTTTCAGTCCTTTGGAAACATTGTTATTAAGAGCAGATCTTTCTAACATAATAGTCCAGGTAAATGAAATATACGTGAGATATAATAGATGAGGGTTTATTGTTTGTGTTGTAAAGTTTATTTACAACCTATATAAAAACATTCTGAAAATGTTAGCTCCTTTTGGACTGTATGTTAAAAAATAAATGGCTTCTCAAAGGAAATTCCTATTTGCTTCAACTCCCTTCTTGATTGTTAGTCCTGAAAAGTATATATGACTTTAATTACTTTAGTATCCAGGATTAAACTAACTATATAGACATTTAATAACTTGAAGCTGCTGAGTTCTTTGAAATATCTTTTCTATTGGATGCATTTTATCAATTATCACAACTGTAGTACTTATAAATAAACTATTTTTAATATCAGCATTAAAATGTATTTCCTTATTTTTTTCACATGAGTCAGTTAACTTGAAATAGCAAATTCTTTAACTGAAGGTGTATCATTGTTCATTAGCAAGTTACAAACTCTGGCAGGTCCAAGAATTGTGTAAAGTTTACTTTTGTTGTTGTTGTTGTTTTCCTGTACATTTTTCCTGGCAACCAAATGTGAAGGGACATTTCAGCAAGAAGACTTGGTTTATTTTCTAGTTAAATGGGTATGGAAAACAGTGCATAAGACCAAAGGAAGTAGTTATTTCTCGTTGAGAAAATTTATCCCATTTGCAGGGTCAGAGAAAGTACTATTACATTCATGTGATTAAAAATTGGTCAATAAGAATATACTCAAGTCATCAGACTTCTTATAATTTGGGAGAAAAATAAAGGAATTTTCTAGTTTAATACTTGACCACAAAACTCTTTTACTACATAGAACCTAAAATATTGTGAATTAAATGTACTTTTAAATACACTAACTTAATGTTACTAAAAAAATGCAATCATACTTATATTTGGTAAAATAAATTCTGCATGATCTACTTTTGGTCTTTTCCTGACACTTTATACTATAAGAAATTAGAAAAATCAAAATAAATTTTTCAAAATCTATAGAAAAATGTTTCACAATTAATTATTTTTCTCATGAAAATATATTAAATGTAACCAAATGAGACCTGCCTTACCTTTTAAAAAGAAGTTTTGTTAATATCAAATTGTATTTGAAAGGTTCTGATTTGATCATTTGAAATGTTGGAATTCACAATGTTTGGTGTCACAAAAGAACACCGAATTTCTAAGGTCAATCCTTTAAATGGTTTTAGAATCTGGCAGAATGTTATCTTATAAATTGCAGCTTATTTTATACTTTTTTTTTTTTTGAGAGAAGTAGCTGGATTTGGCATCAATATATGTTAGGGTTTGTTATAAATGACTAATATATCTTACCTGATCTCTAAAAAGAAGAAACTGACTAGTTGCTCCAATTTGGATACTGAGTGTCCCCCAAAGACTTGTGTGTTAAAGGTGTGGTCCCCAGGGTGGTATCATGGAAATTGGTGTGCACCTTTGGGAGGAGGAGCTTTGTGTGAGGTCCTTAGGTCATGAGTGGGGAGCATGACCACAAAGAGGGCTGCAGGGACCCAACCCTTTCCCCCTCTCTCATTTGCTTCCTGACCTTGAGGTGAGCTGTTTGTTCTTCCACATGCACCAAAGGTGCCATCCGGCATACCCACCAGAGGCCCAAAGCAATGGCTCTGCCAAATCTTGGACTGGAGCCTCCAAAACTGTGAACTGAAAAAAAATTTTTTTTTCCCTTTATAAATTCATTTTGCAGGTATTTCTTTGGAGTGAAAGCTATCACAATGGTGTATAAGAGTAAATGCAAATCTATATCTAATATTTTAATATCATAGCATCTATATCACATTTCATTTTTATGAATCAAGTTACCCATTTTTAGATGAGTTTAGATATTTTACTTTGTTTTTTGCTCAACCAGCATTTTAAGAAAATTTAAAATCATGTCCATAAGCTAGTTTAGTACTCCCTCTAGTGGCGGACTTACTTTTGAAGTTAAATATTTGAGAGTAACTGAAAGAGTGATATCCATTATAATTCAAATAAATTGTCAAATTTTATGTTACTAGAAAATAAAGCTTAAACAGAGAACTGGAAGTATTTTTTTATTGACAATGGAGAGGGTTTCTGTTACCATTACCTTTTGACTGTATCTGTTAAACAAAAATAGACATCAAAACAAATGTAATGTACGTGCAAACAGCAAATTAAAGTACAAAAAGAAATTACTAATGACAGGTCTTGCGCTTAATAAGATCAAGCAGCAGAAAATCAGCAATTAGATAAATGGTATTATTAAATAGATTTTACTTTGAAATCTTCCATATAAACAAAGAATAAACAACAATAACACCACCAAATAAAGCCACAGGGAAGAGATTACTCCTCTATACTTTTTATACACTATATATGTAACCATTCTGCCTTTTGTTTATTTCCTCTGATAAAACTGACTTCAGGGAAGTCACAAGAAGGCCATGTTGGCTAAAAGCTTATAACATTAGTCATGAGTCTGGCAAATGCTCTGTTCCATTGACAAAAAGGAAGGGTATCTGGGTTCTGTTTTTCCAGTGGAAATGAGCCTCAGTCTCTGCTGTGGTTGACATTCACTGTCCAGTGTGGGCTGACGGTTCAAGGTATTTGAATGAACATGTGTTTATTAGGAAAGAAGTGTTTTATTTTTTTTGTTTTGTTTTGTTTTTTCTTGATCCACAGGTAACAAGAGAAGATTTTTTTTTAATATAAATTTGTTTAAATAATTGCTTTTGACTCTTGTAAACAGTTTGGCTTTGTTTTGTATTGAAAAGGAGATCAAGCCATCACAGTGCTATTTCTAGAGATAAGGACATCCCTGATTGCCTTTAAAGGTCATTTTTGGCTCCAGTTCCAGGTTAAATCATTCTTTTTTACATGATCAGAGGCAGGTATTCAGCTTTAAGGATTAACAGACTTGAAGGAGAAACATGTTGAAGCATGAAACATGCTTCGAGGAAACATATTGATCTGACTTGTTACAATTCAAAAACTGTAAAAATGGTGAAATGGTAAAATACAAACAGTACTTGGAATTGTCAAATGTTTGCACTCAAGACTCCATGAACCATATATTTTATTTTTTAAAAAATCATATTTATATCCATTTACATAAGACTTACACATTTAAAAAGAAATACACAGTAATACATAAATGCCTAGTATATTACAACATGAAAAACAAGTGGCTCCATTTCATAAAAGCATCTGTTGTACAGAATTTATGATGTGGATGATGCTTCTTATTCAAATGACTTAAGCATTTTATCACAATTGTAGTAAACTAATCAAATTTGATATCTGATAACCCCCGGAATCACATTTTATTTTTAATAAATCACGACTGTCATTATTTCCTTCGAATTCGGTCTTCACAGAGGTTTCACTGCTCATCTTCTTAGATGGTGGAGTACTTTAGATGCACTTTAGGTAGAGTAGACTGAAAACACGACATCTAAAATATGTAATGAACAGGGTTAGTTCACTGAAAGGTCCTGGCCTGGTGAATCCAGTTCCCTACTCTGATGCACATCCATGTATCCTGCCCACACCTGTCCTACCATGTAATGGAAAGAACATCATCTAAGACCTAAACCATAGTGGACATCAGTATCAAGTGATCTTGTCCACTTTTGTGCAAGGAACTAAAATAGTAGGATTTGCTCAACTTTGGGGAAACTATAGAAGTAACATAAACAAAGGAAGTCACATAAAATGTCAGCATGCCTTCTGAAATTTGACAGCATGCTAATTATGCACTG